GATTTGAGTGATCACATGTGATTATGTGATCAAAGGGGAGGGTATTAGTATTAGATAGCAATATGGCCTACGTGCAGGACTGTACAAGGACTCTACAAGGACTCCATGTTATGACTATGATTTGACTGTCTCTTTGTGACACGTATGTCTTTCGATGTGTGACGTGACAATGACTATATAAACTGTGTACTGCCTTTATTCTGTCTGAGGAAAAGAAACAGAGTAAACCAGTGGAACTTGAGAGCAACTTAAATAAACTTCCAGAGTTTGGCACACCACGATCCGTCTCTGTCTGCTAAATCCTAACACACAAACAAATCTGGTTACGCACAAACAAATCTGGTTACGCACAAACAAATCTGGTTACGCACAAACAAATCTGGTTACGCACAAACAAATCTGGTTACGCACAAACAAATCTGGTTACGCCCGCACAAGTATTATTGAAACAATAACAGCTCCATAATGAAGAGTGTGTTGAATACTGATTACTTGTAAACTATGCTCCAGATCCATAATGTGTCATTAAGAATTCGCAGACACCCCTAAAAAGCAAAGAATTGTGTATTTTAAAAATGTATCAAATGTATGTATAAAACACCTTAAGAATAGAGTTTATCATCAGTATATGTTAGAAACAATTATAGCAACAAATAACAACAGAATAATTGAGCATGAAAAGAAATGGAATGTCTGCTTAGTTAGAGATATAAATATTAGGTGTACTTGCTATGCCATTTGTTATGTCGTAAATGTTTTGCTAATTATATTGTATTTTGTTTATGGATTTTGATTGGTATTAGTGACTTTATTTTATTTCTCATTTTCTATGTTATTATTTTCTTTTGCTTTGTGCTTCTTTTTTGTCTATAGTCTGTGTTCAAAATACGAAGAATGTGTGGATGATTGTGGTATGAATGCAAAGGGGGGGAGTGGCTGGGTTTGGGGTGGGTGGGGGGGTTTTGAAGTTTGTCTCGTTATTTTATCTTGTAAATAAAAAGAAGAGGAAAAAAAAAAAAAAAAGAATTGTGTATTTGATAACGGTGAGCCACGACTTTTTTTGTAATTTTCTTTTTATTGTCTCATTTTTTTATCACATTACGGCCACATTTTGTCACATTTTTGTCACGTTATAGTCACATCTTTGTCACCTTATGGTCACATCTTTGTCACGTTATGTTCACATCTTTGTCACATTTTTGTCACGTTATCGTCACCTTGTTGTCCTATTATGGTCACATCTTTGTCAAATTTTTTGTTACATTGTCGTCACATTTTTGTCACTTTATCGTCACATTTTTTGTTACATTGTCGTCACATTTTTGTCACTTTATCGTCACATTTTTTGTTACATTGTCGTCACATTTTTGTCACTTTATCGTCACATTTTTTGTTACATTGTCGTCACATTTTTTGTCACTTTATTGTCACATTTTTTGTTACATTGTCGTCACATTTTTGTCACTTTATCGTCACATTTTTTGTTACATTGTCGTCACATTTTTGTCACTTTATCGTCACCTTGTCGTCATATTATGGCCACATTTGTCACTTTTTCATCTCGTTTTTATCACTCTTATTTTTTTCCTTTCCCCCGTGTGTACCTACACCCAGTAAAACAAGAGAAAAATAAAAACAAAGACAAAGAATAAAAAATAAGATAAAACACGATCGTAGTTAAATAATAAGAAACAATCACAAAAGAAAAAAAGAAAAGAAAAACTTTTTGTGGGGTGATTACATTTCCATTGTCTCCAACATTGAGGGTCGCCACAGGTCCTCAAATTCTTTCATTTTGTTCTTTAACCTTGCAGTTACTTTTTCCATATTTAACACATCTGAGCCACGACTTTTGACAGCTGTGCGAGTCACGCAAGTCACCGGAAGTTGCCGTGAGTCGCAAACAGTGCTAGCTTCTCTGGATCGATGGCTAACTTGGCTCTCTGAAGCGGCAGGTGCTGACAGAGCAGCGTCAGCGGGAAACTTCTCCATCGCGTCCTTAGTAACAATCGCATTACGACGCGCCTAATGTTTTCATACACGGATAATGCACGTTAGAACTGAGACACCAGAGATAAAGCCGGGGTCGAGATGGACGGCTGCTGCTGCTCGCGCTTTTAATGCTAGCCCCGGAATCCGATTAGCCGCGCATTAGCCGAAGTCCGCACTCTGTGATTCTGAGACGACATGGATCACAGGGCTCTGGATTTAGATCTGAGGTTTAGCTGCTGAGAGTAAGAACCATCATCAAAGTCTACTCACTGCAGCAGAGTGACTGTGAAGGCGCCGAGGGTCTGTCAGCGCCGAGGGTCAGTCGGCTCCGGGTCAGTCGGCTCCGGGTCAGTCAGCTCCGGGTCAGTCAGCTCCGGGTCAGTCAGCTCCGGGTCAGTCAGCTCCGGGTCAGTCAGCTCCGGGTCAGTCAGCTCCGGGTCAGTCAGCTCCGGGTCAGTCAGCTCCGGGTCAGTCAGCTCCGGGTCAGTTTATCAGTATAGCACAGTTCATACACACGGGAACGCAACAGGCGGAACCAAACCAGATGGAAGCACCACAAGGCCAGTCCCTGTGCTCCTCAGTCCCAGCAGGAGGCCAGTCCCTGTGCTTCTCAGACTCCCAGCAGGAGGCCAGTCCCTGTGCTCCTCAGAGTCCCAGCAGGAGGTCAGTCCCTGTGCTCCTCAGAGTCCCAGCAGGAGTCCAGTCCCTGTGCTCCTCAGAGTCCCAGCAGGAGGCCAGTCCCTGTGCTCCTCAGAGTCCCAGCAGGAGGCCAGTCCCTGTGCTCCTCAGAGTCCCAGCAGGAGGTCAGTCCCTGTGCTCCTCAGAGTCCCAGCAGGAGGCCAGTCCCTGTGCTCCTCAGAGTCCCAGCAGGAGGCCAGTCCCTGTGCTCCTCAGAGTCCCAGCAGGAGGCCAGTCCCTGTGCTCCTCAGAGTCCCAGCAGGAGGCCAGTCCCTGTGCTCCTTAGTCAGTCCCCTATATTGAGTATAAAATATTTGAACCAGGCCCTGTCACTAACCTTGTGACAGGGTGGAGTTTGCATGTTCCCCCCTTGCCTGTGGAGGTTCCCCAACAACCCCAAAAGAAACGGTACATCCAGCAGCTAACACTAAATGTACCTTTAAGATTATCATGAGTCCAAAGCTTTACTGTCTCTATAAAACAACATTTAGATTCTTCCTCACTTAAAAAACTAACATTATTTAAAGCATCTGACTTTCATTACACAAACAATATAATCTGTCCATTTATCCGTCTACTAAAACCAGCTCTGGTTTGATCATGGACTGTATGAACATGTATCATTTATGTGAAAACCCAGTGAGGTAACCCAGCTTTAAAATGTTGATTATAACCAAATATAAAAGTTATTGCATGTTTAATGCTTAGTGCTAAAATGAGAGACACATTTGAGTGAAAGTTTACTTCAGAGGAATAAATGTTGTGTTTTTACAGAAAACACCTGGAATCCTCATTTTAGACAAACACAGACTCAGCTCAGCCCAAACACAGAGACACAAATGTTTACAGTATGTTTACCGGAATTCACCGACTCTCACCTCCGTCAAAACAGTCCTGCAACGCGCTGCCCCAGTAGAGCCCTGCACGGGCCTATTATCTGGGCCCTAACCCGGCCCTGGCCCGAGGGGGTAGCGCCCCAGCCCGGCCCGGCCCGATATGGTTTCTGAATTTTCAGGCCCGAAACCCGCATCAAGCCCAACTTTGTTTTTATTTTATTTTTTACCTCCCATAACAATGTTTTAGCGTAGTATATAGTGCCGCGCACTGATATGAACACAGGCCCGGCCAGAGGGCGGAGTTATACATGGTAGTGATGTGTTGCTGTGAGTTCTGTGTGTGCAGAGTGAACGGCCGCAGCTGTATGATACACAGATGTATGATACACAGCTGTATGATACACACCTGTATGATACACAGCTCTATGATACACAGCTGTATGATACACAGCTGTATGATACACAGCTGTATGATACACAGCTGTATGATACACAGCTCTATGATACACACCTGTATGATACACACCTGTATGATGCACACCTGTATGATGCACAGCTGTATGATAAACAGCTGTGTGACAGCTGTATGATACACAGCTGTATGATACACAGCTGTATGATACACACCTGTATGATGCACACCTGTATGATGCACAGCTGTATGATAGCTGTATGATACACAGCTGTATGATACACACCTGTATGATACACAGCTGTATGATACACAGCTCTATGATACACACCTGTATGATACACAGCTGTATGATACACAGTTGTATGATACACACCTGTATGATACACAGCTGTATGATACACACCTGTATGATACACACCTGTATGATACACACCTGTATGATACACAGCTGTATGATAGCTGTATGATACACAGCTGTATGATACATAGCTGTATGATACACACCTGTATGATGCACAGCTGTATGATACACAGCTGTATGATAGCTGTATGATACACAGCTGTATGATACACAGCTGTATGATACACACCTGTATGATACACAGCTGTATGATACACACCTGTATGATACACAGCTGTATGATACACAGCTGTATGATACACACCTGTATGATACACAGCTGTATGATACACACCTGTATGATGCACAGCTGTATGATACACAGCTGTTTGATAGCTGTATGATACACAGCTGTATGATACACAGCTCTATGATACACACCTGTATGATACACAGCTGTATGATACACAGCTCTATGATACACACCTGTATGATACACAGCTGTATGATACACAGCTCTATGATACACAGCTGTATGATACACAGCTCTATGATACACACCTGTATGATACACAGCTGTATGATACACAGCTCTATGATACACACCTGTATGATACACAGCTGTATGATACACAGCTCTATGATACACACCTGTATGATACACAGCTCTATGATACACAGCTGTATGATACACAGCTGTATGATGCCCAGATGCCGCAACACACTTGTAAGTAACGCTGTGTGTTGTCAATGACAACACTACACAGAACAAACACTACAGCGTGATAGAACGCTGTATTCAGTGGGTGCGTTCGTAAATGTAATCAGCTGCTCTGAAAGTGCTCGAGCCCGGCCCGTGTCCGAGGTCGTTATACGGTCATCGGCCCGAAGTCCGGCCCTCGGGCTGTCGGGCCCCTCTGGCCAAGGGCTCAAGTGCAGGGCTCTAGGCCCCAGTCCTCGTTCTACAGTCTGACTCCTGGATGTATAGCCTGGACCCAGCAGATGCAGAAGGGTCTGAGGACGGCGATGATCCAGGACATACATCTCTCAATCTATTATTATTATTATTATTATTATTATTATTATTATTATTAATCTGAGTCTGATTACTGTGTCCTTCTCGTTTCCTTCTTGTTTCTCCTTCCCACAGCTGTCACGTCGATGCACCGCTCTCAGATGCAGATGAATAATAAATCAAAGACATGAGGTCTTGGGTTCAGGCCTCGCTGAGATTAAAGCTGAGGGACCTAAACTACTGTCACTTAAACTACTCATGATCAGACCAAAGCTGCTTCATCTCAGGAGAAAACATGTTCTATTCCACAAACGTGTCAGAGAGAGAGCCCTGGGAGTCAGTGTTTGGGCTGAGAGCTGATCTAATGTGCCTTAAAGCTCAGGTACCTAACTTTCAAACCACAAATGTCTGTGTAATATGCCACTTTTCCTCAGTAAAGGTACGGTACGGCATGGCACGGTTATTTTGCATTTCCACTGGGGTTGGGCTTGAGATAAGGGCACTTTTTTTGTACCACCTCGACTGTGGTTCCAGCCGAGCTGAAGCTACAACATGATGTGACGTCAATAAAACCAATCAAAAAAGGGTATTTTTGCCTCAAATACTGATAAAAGTAAAATTTAAGCCCTATATTTTTAATTATTGATCAGAACTTTCATCTTTGACATGGCGTCTGTTGATCTAAGAACGACAAATCACGTGGTTAAAAACAAGAAAATTCTTAACTTTTTGAATGTTTGGAAGTAAACTTCAGGTAAATATGAATAAATGGAATGTATTAAATCAATTTATCAAATAAAGAAACATTTATTAAAAGTCACACACTCAAAATGGCTGCTAAAACTGAAATAGTGTTGCAAAGGTTGCCATGGCAACCAGCTGTTCTGGTTACTGTGGCGATGCCCGCTGACATCGTCCCTTCCGGTTGCCATGGCATCGATGATGTCACCGGGGCCAGGCAGAGCTTGTGAGTGTTTGTGAGTTCTTGAAGGGCCGTCCATCGGTGAAGTCAGGCTCAGGGTCAAAAGTTTACTTCAGAGGAGTCATTTCTAACAGGACTTGGTAAAGTCTGTCTAAACCAAACTATTGGAGTAAATACAGGGCCTTTAAAAACATGGCTCGCAGGAGTCCTCGACTGGAGGAAATGGGGTACTACGATGAGGATGAAAACCCCCGCATCTGCTTCTCAGACACTGGTTGCAGGAGGTTAAACATCTCCACAAATATGCGGCGCCACAGCTTCCCACTGGAGGCGAGGAAGGCCGCAAATGTCATCTATGTGTCTGGGCCTGCAGTTCAGCCTAGGTCCTGGTTCAGCTTGGCCCGGGTCATAATCCGGCTTCTCTTGGCTGGCTTTGTTGTGTCCTGGTTGGCAATGGCGATGGCTACTGATGGTGAGGTGCAGCAGCTGCAACACCAGGTAAAACATCTGCACCAGCTGAAGGAGGAGGTCGATCATCTGCGAGACAGAGAGGTACTTGATTTGAAAAAAACGACCCAAGCTCCTCCCCCTTCCTTTCTGATTGGTCGACACCTACGTTTCCGTAACACTTTGAAATGTTAATCAGAGAACACATTATACATATACATTATCAATACACATGCACGGAGGTTTTCAGAATTATTTGTGAACGTTTTAATGAAAAAAAATAATGTTTTTATGCACAAAAAAGCGATCGCGGCAAACCAGGAAGTGCTATTATTATGAATTGCACATTATAGGACACATCTGCAGAGGATCTGATTATGGATATAGGTTCAGTATATACATGATTATGGATATAGGTTCAGTCTATAAATGATTATGGATATAGGTTCAGTATATACATAAGTACCTCAGCGCGGATGTTCAGAATTCTTTGTTCAGTTTTTCATGTAGTTCCAGAGCCTAATGGAGGCTTGATTCGGAGGCTCCGCGAAAACAAACAACTGAGCATGAGCAGCTGCGAGCATCAGCGCCGATGATTGACAGCTCTTGGCATGACTCGATTAGTTAACCTCGACGGCACCGTGGATTCTGAACTATAGCTAAGAGCAGGGAAGGCGGGACTTGCCCGTAATATTAGAATTAATAAAATTACTTATTTTATATCAACATTTAAGGCCAGGAGGTCAATTTAACACATTTCCTAAAATTTCCTTGGAGGGGTCACGCAACGGCTCTACCAATCAGCTCAGACATTGTGTTATTTCATGAGATTCTCTCTGAGGTTACCGTCAATGTCTCAGACCGAACCCAAAGAAGCACACGTGAGGTTGGTTCAAGTCCATTTGCCACCTCCTCACTCGTCTCCAACCCGGTGGACACTAGGCAAGGCAAGGCAAGGCAAGTTTATTTATATAGCACAATTCATACACAAGGCAATTCAAAGTGCTGAACAAAACAAGAAAGCATAAATTATCACAGAACATTAAAAAGAAAGATAAAAATATAAAATCCCTCAGTTGTATGCACAGCTAAACAGAACTGTCTTTAACCTGGTTTTAAACATTGTCAGAGAGGAGGCCTGTCTCACATCTTCAGGAAGACTGTTCCAGATTTTAGCAGCATGAATCTGAAAAGCAGCCTCCCCATGTTTAGTTCTGACTCTGGGCACTAACAGGAGTCCAGTCCCTGTGCTCCTCAGAGTCCCAGCAGGAGTCCAGTCCCTGTGCTCCTCAGAGTCCCAGCAGGAGTCCAGTCCCTGTGCTCCTCAGAGTCCGGGCTGGTTCATATGGGACTAACATGTCACTAATATATTTTGGTGCGAGGCTATGGAGAGACTTGTAACAAGCAGAGCTGTTTTAAAGTCTATTCTCTGAGCCACAGGAAGCCAGTGCAGAGACCTGAGAACTGGACTAATGTGGTCGTACTTCCTGGTTCTAGTCAGGACTCGAGCTGCTGCATTTTGAATGTACTGCAGCTGTTTTACAGCCTGTTTGGACAGACCTGTGAGCAGGCCATTGCAGTAGTCTAACCTACTGGAGACAAATGCATGGATAAGAATCTCCAAGTCTGCTTTAGACACTATGTTTTTGATCCTGGCAATGTTTTTTAGATGGTAAAAAGCTGCTGATGTTACTGATTTGATGTGGCTATTAAAATTTAAGTCTGAGTCCAGTATTACCCCTAGATTTCTGACCTTGTTTGAAGGTTTTAGGGAGAGAGACTGGAGGTGACAGATGACGCTCTCTCTTTGTTTCTGGGGACCAAAGACAATCATTTCAGTTTTGTCTGCGTTTAGCTGAAGGAAGTTGTTTTGCATCCACTCACTGATCTGTTGGATACAGTGAAGGAGTGAGTCCACTGGTCCATGTTCTCCTGCAGTCAGTGAGACATAGATCTGAGTGTCGTCTGCATAGTTATGATAGGAAACTTTGTTTCTGCGTATTAACTGACCTAACAGCAGCATGTAGAGATTGAACAGAAGAGGTCCCAGGATTGACCCCTGTGGGACTCCACAGGTCAGGGCCATATGATCTGAGACACAGTTTCCAATCTACACAAAGTACTTCCTGTCTTCAAGGTAAGACCTAAACCAACTTAGGGCGGTGCCAGTGACGCCAACCCAGTCCTCTAGTCTCTGTAAGAGGATCTCATGGTCGACGGTGTCAAAGGCAGCACTTAGATCTAACAAGATTAAGATTGAGACTTTGCCTGCGTCAGTGTTCAGCCGGATATCGTTTGTAACCTTAACGAGAGCAGTCTCAGTGCTGTGGTGGGGTCTAAAGCCGGACTGAAACATATCAAATGAGTTGTTGATTATAAGAAATCTAGTAAGCTGTAGGTAGACAACTTTCTCAAGGACTTTCCCCATAAATGGCAGATTTGACATGGGACGATAGTTGTTAAGTACCGTAGCATCGAGACTGCTCTTTTTTAGCAGGGGCCTGATGACTGCAGTTTTCAGGGCCTTTGGGAATATTCCAGAATGAAGGGACATGTTTACTATCTGTGTGAGTGAAGGTAACAGACTGCTCAGAACAGACTTCAGAAATCTAGTGGGTAGTACATCCAAGCTGCATGTGGAGGAGCTCAAACTGGAGATTATCTCTTGGACAGTTTTATCATTTACAGGTGCAAAGTGAGTTAGCTCAAAGAGCCTTTCTGGCTGTTGGATGGTTATCTGTGGATTGGAGACAATGGTGTTTTTGATGCCTTGAACCTTGTCATTGAAAAAATTAGCAAACTCATTGCATTTACGTTTGGAAGTAAGCTCTAATGGCCTTTGAACAGGGGGGTTTGTTAATCTATTAACTGTTGAGAACAGAACACGCAGATTGTTGCTGCAGCCTTCAATCATTTCAGAAAAATACCTTTCTCTCGTACTACGTAGCACCCGGTTAAACTTGCACAACTTATCTTTGAAGATCTCGTAATCTACCTGGAGGTTGGACTTGCGCCACTTCCGCTCGGCCCTCCGGCACTTTCTCTTTTGTGCCCTGACCGAGTCTGCATTAGCCCACGGCGCCTTCTGCTTATTTTTCACTATTTTAGCCTTCACAGGGGCAACGGTATCCAGAACATTCAAAACACTAGAGGTGACAGAGTTAAACAGTTCATCTACAGTAGAATACGATGCATTCTCAAAGTTTATCATTTCCATAAATAGTTCACTCGTATTTTCATTTATGCGCCTTCTTCGAACAGTTGCAGAGTCCACTGGTGGTTTGTTAGTGAAACACATGTCAAAAAAAACACAGAAATGATCCGAAAGAGCAACATCGACCACGTTTACATTTGAAATATTCACCCCCTTAGTAACTAACAGATCTAGAGTGTGCCCTCTGCTGTGGGTGGGGCCACTTACGTGCTGAGTGAGATCAAAGGATTCAAGTACAGAACTCAGCTCATTTGCATTTCTGTCATCAACATTATCCACATGAATATTAAAATCACCTGTAATAACCAAACTATCAAAATCTGTGCATACAACTGAAAGCAACTCGGTAAAATGATCAATAAAACTGTGACATGACTGCGGTGGCTTGTATAGGACAACAAAGAGTATTGGAGGAGATTGTTTTTGTTATATTTTAAAAGACACATATTCAAATGACAAAAACTTCCCAAGAGACATTCTATGGGAGACAAAGTGGTCTCTAAAAATGGCAGCTAAGCCTCCTCCTTTTTTGTTTTCCCGTATTTCAGATTCAAACTTGAAATTTGGTGGTGATGCTTCTATTAAAACTGCATTTTCTGAATTTTGGTCAAGCCAAGTTTCAGCCATGAACATAAGATCAAGATTATGAGAACAAATAAAATTATTGATTAAAAAATACTTGTTACAAAGAGATCTGACATTAAGCGTAGCAAGTTTCAAAGTTTCAGTATCAGCGGTTGTGGTTGGCTGATTCTTACACGGAACAAGAATTAGATTTTCCAGATTAGACTGATTAACTCCAGATGTTTTTCTGTAATGTATTCTTTGTGTTATCACTAAGGGAATGGCACAGGTGGCTTCATGACAGGGCCCCAGCCGGGTCTCTCCTCTAACTAGACTGCCAGTGGCTGCGAAGCAGAGACCCTGTGCATCCTAGTGTTTAGAGAAAAGAGGGGTAGGGGAAGGCGGGGGAGGAGGATGGAGAGGTGGGTGGCTTTTGGGTGTTGAACGAGGGGGGCAGGGAGGTGGAGGGGTTTTAGGTGATGGGTTAGGGCCGGGGTGGGCTGAGGCAGAGGTTTTGGATGTTGAACGAGGGGGAAGTGGGGGTGGAATGGTCATCAGGTTAGGGGAGGGACTGGCTGAGGTGGTTTTTGTAGGTGAATTGGAAACCCTAGGTGGTTTTGGAGGTACATATGGGGAGTGGTCTAGAATGTTGGACAGGACTCTAGATCTAGCTAATATGGGTGTGAGAGGAATAGTCTTCATCGCCGATTTTATTAGCCCTGCAGAGTGTTCAGGTAGGTCTAACAGTGAAGGCGGGGATGAAAAACAAAGGGACGTGTCCCCATTCTCTCTTGATGGAGTGGACGTGGCAGGGGGGACCCAAGACAGGTCCATGGGAGGTGGCGAGGGAGTCTTTGATGGAGGGGCAGGTGGTTGAGGAAACCCCAGCACAGGCCTGTCTGCTGTAGGCTGGGGTGAGGATGGGGGCTTCAGAGGCGCTGTAGATGAAGAAGGCGTGGCTGCTTTGGAGCAGGCTGGGGATGAGGATGTTGGTGGTGGTGGTCGTGCTGCTGGTGCTGCTACTGGTGATGATGCAGCTGCTGCTGGTGATGATGCAGCTGCTGCTGGTGATGATGCAGCTGCTTCTGATGACAGTGGAGGTGTTGAGATCCTTCGAGGTGGTGGTGGTGTTGAGATCCTTTGAGGCGGTGATGGTGTTGAGATCCTTTGAGGCGGTGGTGGTGTTGAGATCCTTCGAGGTGGTGGTGGTGTTGAGATCCTTCGAGGTGGTGGTGGTGTTGAGATCCTTCGAGGTGGTGGTGGTGTTGAGATCCTTCGATGTGGTGGAGGTGTTGAGATCCTTCGAGGTGGTGGAGGTGCAGAGACTTTTGGAGTTGGCTTCCTCCCTTTCGATGGCTGCATGCGCTGCGCAGGCTGAGGTCTCAGGGCAAAAGAAAGGTAAACTGAAACTACCTTCAACAGCCCAGCCCCTCGGCCCCCACAGCCCCATCCACATGGACTAGAGTGGGCCCGGCTGCGCTGTACCAGGCGGACTGCGTTTCATTCAACTCATCACCAAAGACCTGTCCAGACATCAGGCTCCCAGGATCATCCGAGTACTCGAACCCCCCCCCCATGTTAAGGAGGCGGTCCTTAACATTGGAAACCACTACATTTGCACGTTATTCAATTCAAAAGCAATAAACAAAAACTTTGTTTGTTTTATGTTTTTGGATTTAACGTTCTGGGACTGAGTCTCTGTAAATCTGTGAATCGTTCGATCGTTGGATTCTCCGTTCAAAAATGCAAATAAAAATCAAATAAAGATTAATAATACATGAATTACTTTTGTGTTCCTTTCAATCAATCAATTTTATTTACAGAGCCCTTTACAACACTCAAGGCGACCAAAGTGCTTCACAATAAAATTACATAAAATCAATTTAAAACATTTATGCACTAAAACAATAAAACAGTTAAAAAACATTTTTAAAAAGTGTCACCTGCTGTTGAGTGATAAAAGTGTTAAAAGCTAATCTGAATAAATACGTTTTGAGCCTCGATTTAAAAAGGCCAAAGTCAGTAAGAACAGGCACATCAGGGGCAGCTTGTATATAGTTGTAAATACTCAATATCAAAGATTGAAACTTTTTTACTTATACAATTGAAACATACATTGCTAAAACAGCTTTCACCTTTCAGTAAAATAAAAAACACGTCCAAGACTTTCAATTCAGTGTGAGTCAAAAGTATTGTATCGTACCGTACCACAATATTGTTTCACCAGCGAACGGAAGCATCTGATTGGTCGTTCCTTGCATGGCTCACATCTGAATCACAGACAGCACTGAGCCACACATTATTAAAGCTGCACTAACTGACTTTATTTTTGTATTCATTACGAAAATGCTATCCATGTCCGTGTAGGGCATTGGGATATACGTCCTTTTGACAAAAAAGTAGCGCAGATTTGTGCTGGCGTGACATTATATTTTAGATCGAGTTTTGATGAAACAAGGAAGAGAATGTGTTTCGGGTCGCAGATTGTGACCAATCACCGCGGACCACTGGCCCCCACTTTTGTGAGAAATGTACAGGTCTCCGTTAGCATAGACGGCTGAGTTAGCACAACAAGACGAGGAGCTAACCTGAAGCTTCGTCTCTTCGTCACCGGTTACTGCTTACACAGCGACACAGCCATCCAAAAGAAAGTCTCGTTCCTCCGCGCTTCCCGGTTCTATCGTTCTATGGTCACGCCATCCACGTGCAAATCCATATCCATGTATTATCCATATTGGGAGACGCTAGCTTCGTCCCAACAGTGGGTGTGTGTGGGGGGCAATAGCTTCGTGGGTGCGGGGAGGGGAGCAGAGAGAGAGAGGCCAGAGAGTCTGCTGCTTCAAAATCCCAAAGTCAGTTAGTGCAGCTTTAAAGCTCTAAATGATGACTGTGACACAAATGGTTCCTGAGCTAAAGCAGTTTACTAGTCCATGTAAGTCAGAGCCAGAGCAACACTTTGTTCATGAGCACTTCCCGATTGGGTGTCATTGAGCTAGCAGGTTAGCATTGTCCATCTGTATACACGTACCACCTCGACCGTGGTTCCAAGTGGTCCGAAGTTGTCTGGAAGCGACGTCCACCCCTTTGGTAAAACAGCTCAACCCCGCTCAGCTATAACATGTCCTCCTCACTCCAGGGAAATGGAATTGCACAGAAAGCCCCAAAAGGCCCTGGTCGGTCACGTTACTCTCTTTAGGCCGAAGGAAGAATTCAAAGGTAGCTCAAGGCTCAACGGGGAACGAGGTTCTCTTTTTTTTTATACTTTATTGTGTCTTTATTTTGCACTGTGAATGTACAGACTTTGTAAACAAAGAACAATATTTTGTTTTTTGTTTTCTTTTTACATATGTATGGTTCAGTTGAGCATATACACTTATACATTTTTAGATCACCCATGTGAAATATGTCATTAGTTGCAACAAAAGATTTAAAAAAAACAAAATAAATAAATAAATAAAAAAAGGCTAAATAATTATACAGACAAAATGAGATGCATGAAAGAACGAGGTTTTCAGGGAGATCGCTCTTGATTTGTGACTAGGACTGATGGACTGAGGAGGCTCCAGGACTGATGGACTGAGGAGGCTCCAGGACTGATGGACTGAGGAGGCTCCAGGACTGATGGACTGAGGAGGCTCCAGGACTGATGGACTGAGGAGGCTCCAGGACTGATGGACTGAGGAGGCTCCAGGACTGATGGACTGAGGAGGCTCCAGGACTGATGGACTGAGGAGGCTCCAGGACTGATGGACTGAGGAGGCTCCAGGACTGATGGACTGAGGAGGCTCCAGGACTGATGGACTGAGGAGGCTCCAGGACTGATGGACTGAGGAGGCTCCAGGACTGATGGACTGAGGAGGCTCCAGGACTGATGGACTGAAGAGGCTCCAGGACTGATGGACTGAGGAGGCTCCAGGACTGATGGACTGAAGAGGGTCCAGGACTGATGGACTGAAGAGGCTCCAGGACTGATGGACTGAGGAGGCTCCAGGACTGATGGACTGAGGAGGCTCCAGGACTGATGGACTGAGGAGGCTCCAGGACTGATGGACTGAGGAGGCTCCAGGACTGATGGACTGAGGAGGCTCCAGGACTGATGGACTGAGGAGGCTCCAGGACTGATGGACTGAGGAGGCTCCAGGACTGATGGACTGAGGAGGCTCCAGGACTGATGGACTGAGGAGGCTCCAGGACTGATGGACTGAGGAGGCTCCAGGACTGATGGACTGAGGAGGCTCCAGGACTGATGGACTGAGGAGGCTCCAGGACTGATGGACTGAAGAGGCTCCAGGACTGATGGACTGAGGAGGCTCCAGGACTGATGGACTGAGGAGGCTCCAGGACTGATGGACTGAGGAGGCTCCAGAACTGATGGACTGAGGAGGCTCCAGAACTGATGGACTGAAGAGGCTCCAGGACTGATGGACTGAGGAGGCTCCAGGACTGATGGACTGAGGAGGCTCCAGGACTGATGGACTGAGGAGGCTCCAGGACTGATGGACTGAGGAGGCTCCAGGACTGATGGACTGAGGAGGCTCCAGGACTGATGGACTGAAGAGGCTCCAGGACTGATGGACTGAGGAGGCTCCAGGACTGATGGACTGAGGAGGCTCCAGGACTGATGGACTGAAGAGGCTCCAGGACTGATGGACTGAGGAGGCTCCAGGACTGATGGACTGAGGAGGCTCCAGGACTGATGGACTGAAGAGGGTCCAGGACTGATGGACTGAGGAGGCTCCAGGACTGATGGACTGAGGAGGCTCCAGAACTGATGGACTGAGGAGGCTCCAGAACTGATGGACTGAAGAGGCTCCAGGACTGATGGACTGAAGAGGCTCCAGGACTGATGGACTGAAGAGGCTCCAGGACTGATGGACTGAGGAGGCTCCAGGACTGATGGACTGAAGAGGCTCCAGGACTGATGGACTGAAGAGGCTCCAGGACTGATGGACTGAGGAGGCTCCAGGACTGATGGACTGAGGAGGCTCCAGGCAGGTTTGGGGGTCCAGCCCACTGGTCCAGTCCGGCGGAGACCACTTCAAACATAGTAAACAGTCTCATTATAAATATAAGGCCAAAAATAATGCGTAATATTTCTTTTTTAACTGCAAATTTTTTACATAATCTATAAATGTGTGTATTTTTTTTACATTCAAACTACATTTTGTCTTCTGAGTCTCTCCAGATTGAAACAACATTTGTGACTAGTCTGTGCTAATCCTGGAAATAACTGGTTAGCTACGAATCCCGTTAAAGCTCTCACTGAAATGTATTTACTGTGTAAACGCTCGATTGTCTGTTGTACACAGTGAGCTAGCTACATTTAGCTTCATTTAGCTATTGATAGCAGCTAAGCTAACGTCCTCCCTGTGCTACTGTGCTTTATCTCGTATTATTTGCAGTATTCATGTGTTCTCATTCTGTTTTGTGCTTGTATTTAAGTTGTTGTGTGTATATTTGTTTGAGAATCCCTTCCCATAAGTCCTGCTGTGGACTCTGAGGAGCACAGATACTGGACTCCTGCTGGGACTCTGAGGAGCACAGATACTGGCCTCCTGCTGGGACTCTGAGGAGCACAGGGACTGGACTCCTGCTGGGACTCTGAGGAGCACAGGGACTGGACTCCTGCTGGGACTCTGAGGAGCACAGGGACTGGACTCCTGCTGGGACTCTGAGGAGCACAGAGACTGGACTCCTGCTGGGACTCTGAGGAGCACAGGGACTGGCCTCCTGCTGGGACTCTGAGGAGCACAGGGACTGGACTCCTGCTGGGACTCTGAGGAGCACAGGGACTGGCCTCCTGCTGGGACTCTGAGGAGCACAGGGACTGGACTCCTGCTGGGACTCTGAGGAGCACAGGGACTGGACTCCTGCTGGGACTCTGAGGAGCACAGGGACTGGACTCCTGCTGGGACTCTGAGGAGCACAGGGACTGGACTCCTGCTGGGACTCTGAGGAGCACAGAGACTGGACTCCTGCTGGGACTCTGAGGAGCACAGGGACTGGCCTCCTGCTGGGACTCTGAGGAGCACAGGGACTGGCCTCCTGCTGGGACTCTGAGGAGCACAGGGACTGGACTCCTGCTGGGACTCTGAGGAGCACAGGGACTGGCCTCCTGCTGGGACTCTGAGGAGCACAGGGACTGGCCTCCTGCTGGGACTCTGAGGAGCACAGGGACTGGCCTCCTGCTGGGACTCTGAGGAGCACAGGGACTGGCCTCCTGCTGGGACTCTGAGGAGCACAGGGACTGGACTCCTGCTGGGACTCTGAGGAGCACAGGGTCTGATCTCCTGCTGGGACTCTGAGGAGCACAGGGTCTGATCTCCTGCTGGGACTCTGAGGAGCACAGGGACTGGCCTCCTGCTGGGACTCTGAGGAGGACAGGGACTGGACTCCTGCTGTGACTCTGAGGAGCACAGATACTGGCCTCCTGCTGGGACTCTGAGGAGCACAGGGACTGGCCTCCTGCTGGGACTCTGAGGAGCACAGGGACTGGCCTCCTGCTGGGACTCTGAGGAGCACAGGGACTGGCCTCCTGCTGGGACTCTGAGGAGCACAGGGACTGGACTCCTGCTGGGACTCTGAGGAGCACAGGGACTGGCCTCCTGCTGGGACTCTGAGGAGCACAGGGACTGGACTCCTGCTGGGACTCTGAGGAGCACAGGGACTGGACTCCTGCTGGGACTCTGAGGAGCACAGGGACTGGACTCCTGCTGGGACTCTGAGGAGCACAGGGACTGGACTCCTGCTGGGACTCTGAGGAGCACAGAGACTGGACTCCTGCTGGGACTCTGAGGAGCACAGGGACTGGCCTCCTGCTGGGACTCTGAGGAGCACAGGGACTGGCCTCCTGCTGGGACTCTGAGGAGCACAGGGACTGGACTCCTGCTGGGACTCTGAGGAGCACAGGGACTGGCCTCCTGCTGGGACTCTGAGGAGCACAGGGACTGGCCTCCTGCTGGGACTCTGAGGAGCACAGGGACCGGCCTCCTGCTGGGACTCTGAGGAGCACAGGGACTGGCCTCATGCTGGGACTCTGAGGAGCACAGGGACTGGCCTCCTGCTGGGACTCTGAGGAGCACAGGGACTGGCCTCATGCTGGGACTCTGAGGAGCACAGGGACTGGCCTCATGCTGGGACTCTGAGGAGCACAGGGACTGGCCTCATGCTGGGACTCTGAGGAGCACAGGGACTGGCCTCATGCTGGGACTCTGAGGTGCACAGGGACTGGCCTCATGCTGGGACTCTGAGGAGCACAGGGACTGGCCTCCTGCTGGGACTCTGAGGAGCACAGGGACTGGCCTCATGCTGGGACTCTGAGGAGCACAGGGACTGGCCTCATGCTGGGACTCTGAGGAGCACAGGGACTGGCCTCATGCTGGGACTCTGAGGAGCACAGGGACTGGCCTCCTGCTGGGACTCTGAGGAGCACAGGGACTGGCTCCTGCTGGGACTCTGAGGAGCACAGGGACTGGACTCCTGCTGGGACTCTGAGGAGCACAGGGACTGATCTCCTGCTGGGACTCTGAGGAGCACAGGGTCTGATCTCCTGCTGGGACTCTGAGGAGCACAGGGACTGGCCTCCTGCTGGGACTCTGAGGAGCACAGGGAACTGGCCTCCTGCTGGGACTCTGAGGAGGACAGGGACTGGACTCTCTCTGAGGAGCACAGATACTGGCCTCCTGCTGGGACTCTGAGGAGCACAGGGACTGGCCTCCTGCTGGGACTCTGAGGAGCACAGATACTGGACTCCTGCTGGGACTCTGAGGAGCACAGGGTCTGATCTCCTGCTGGGACTCTGAGGAGCACAGGGTCTGATCTCCTGCTGGGACTCTGAAGAGGACAGGGACTGGACTCCTGCTGGGG